GAGCGTCAGCCCGGAGAGCGGAAGGTCCGGGGTTCGACCCCCGGCCGCGTCATACCAAAAGACGTTAAAAGATGGTACTTGTTGTTACTGGTCTGTTGTTACAAGGACTGGTCGGCTCGGAGTCAGTATACTGTGTCTGAGTGGGGTATTCATGTTAAACTGCGGCATGGTATCTCAGTGAGCTAGCACTATAAATCGGCATCAGTCCGGACTAGTACAAGCAGCCACACAAACACATACACGTACATGCACGTCGCTATATAAGTGCAATAATCTTGGACGCGACGTTAAATCTAATTTCATCTCACCTCACAAAAACACAAATGTATATATAAAACACCAATGCAGTTATCATATTCACACCGGGTCGTACCAACACACGCGTTATTGAAACTAGACGATCACAAACACTGCAGTCTGATGCCCAATCGCGAAGTCATATGGACATGCACTTGCATGCGCATGCTCGCCACCTCGCAGACACAGTTGCAGTCATGCAAATACCCACGGATCAACGCAGACAAACATGCATTGGTCCTACACACAACTATGAGGTCATACAGACAACCATGCGGTCATACCGACAACTTTGTGGACAAACTGACAACCATGTGGTCATACAGGCAAGCATGTGGTCATACAGACAGATTAATGGTCATACAGACAACCATGTGGTCATACAGAGTGATTGTGTATGGTTTTACGCCGCTTTTAGCAATATTCCAGTGATATCATGGGGGACACCAGAAACCGTGTGGTCGTACAAACACACATGACAGTCATACAGATAGACATGCAGACAGCCATGCGGTCATACAGACAGCCATGCGTTCATAAAGACAGCTATGCAAGCATAGATGTAACAATGCAGGCATACAAACAGACATTAGGTCCTTCAGACAACCTTGCACTCATGCAAGAAACCATACGGTCATACAGACATGCAGTCATACAGTCAATCATGCATTTATACAGACAACCATGTGGTCATATAGACATGCAGTCATACAGTCAATCATGCATTTATACAGGCAACCATGTGGTCATATAGAGAAACATGCAGTCATGCAGTCAATCATGCATTTATACAGGCAACCATGTGGTCATATAGACATGCAGTCATACAGTCAATCATGCATTTATACAGGCAACCATGTGGTCATATAGAGAACATGCAGTCATGCAGGAAGCCATGCGGTCATACAGACATGCAGTCATACAGTCAATCATGCATTTATACAGGCAACCATGTGGTAATATAGAGAAACACGAGTCATGCAGTCAATCATGCATTTATACAGGCAACCATGTGGTCATATAGAGAAACTTGAGTCATGCAGGAAGCCATGTAGTCATACGGGAAACCATACAGTCACGCAGACAACCATGTCGTCATACAGACAGTCATGCGATCATACATACAGTTTTGTGGTCATACAGACAGTCATGCTATCATACAGGTAACCATGCAGTCATACAGAGAGCCATGCGGTCATACAGAGAGCCATGCTATCATACAGGTACCCATGCAGTCATACAGAGAGCCATGCGGTCATACAGAGAGCCATGCTATCATACAGGTAACCATGCAGTCACAACCATGTGGTCATACTGAGAGCCATATTTACGACATTTGCTGCCAACAAACAAAAATGTTCTATACCATCATCAATAACTGCAAAAAAATGGAGACTGCAAGAAACTATTGACATACAAAGAAAGAAGCCAGCCATTCACAGAGACCAATGCCAACTTAAAATTACAAAATATCATGTCTGTGTCATTTGAAATAATATTTTAAAAATGCTTCTTATCATCATGGTCATGAAAGATACACAATGCAATTCATTGTAAATAATTTCAATCGCAATAGTGAAATTTACACTGCTAAAAATCTTGTGGTAAAGAATGTAGAATGTGGTGAGATACACAATCAAAGTTTTACCAGGGATGGCTAATGATAATAATCATTTCTTTGAACATAAGGGGCGAAGCTAAAAAAATAACTCTCAACATGATAAATTAATAACCCAAATTAAAATGTTATCATGATGGGGAAAATGGGTGTGTCAGGACGAAAATGTAGATTCTACATTTGCTTTGTATTGTAAGAATTAGTAAGAGGAAGTTTCCTGGGGGACCCTTTTCAGAATGCGTTCTTATAACATAAACTACAAATTATAACGGAAAATGGGAATAAATATAGACCGCCATGTTGTCTGTAGATATGATTTGTAATCAATCTTAACAATCATCGGATGTGACCATGTAGACAGGATTTCATTTCTGTTCGTGTTTTTTAGAACTGCCCATTACATGACCATCATGAGTATCGGTGTGCTTGGGGATACCAACGTACACAGTTTATTATCAGAGAAAAATGACAGTGAATACTTGTGACTGCCATTTAGAAAAGATGTCTTTAGGAATTTGAATCGTTTCTTGCTCTGTGGGAAGTCACTCAACTTCAACATGGTCTTTAAAGAAAACTTTATTTCATTTGTCAAGTTTGTCCCCACTGAACGTGATGATGAACATGTTGATCGTTTCATATTCACTTTTGTGGTTAGATACATTTTAATGTTGGCATCTTGGAGACTACAGCAAGTCCAGTTTGTTAACCCCTTCATCCAACAGTGATTGCATATGATCTAGGGATGACAAGACTTTGATATTCGCGAGAGTCTTCCTCTCGTAAAATGAATTAATATACCATTAAAAAAAGAAACGCATAACCCGTATTTGCTGAGAAAATGTTGTATATTCAAACATGAATAACTTGGTAGGAAATGAACTTGAGTACATGAAACTTTACATCCGTTTAGGAGAGATCAATGTCTATACAATGATGTCCATAACTTAAGGTAAGGCATTAACAATATTCCTCAAACGTGAATGGAGTATAAATATCTGTTGTGCCCACCACGTGCACGAAAGACAGTTCTCACACGCCTTGCCATGGACTGGATGAGACCCTGGATAACGGCCCGGGGAATCCCCCGCCACTCCTCCTGCAGAAATGCAGCTAGTACCTTGAGAGTTTGGGGTTGATGTTGACGCTGACGGAGACGGCGATCAAGTTCATCCCACAGGTGCTCTATTGGGTTAAGATCCGGGGAACGGGACGGCCAGGGACATTGTTAGCAGCGAGAAAGGTCATTGTGACACGTGCCGTGTGGGGCCGGGCGTTGTCCTGCTGGAAAATCTCACGTTGGACGTCAATGGCTGGCAGGAGGTGTGGTAGCAGGATGGAGTCTCTGTAGCCTACAGCCGTCAGGTTTCCCTGGACGTGAAAAAGATCGGTACGATCAGTGTAGGATATTGCCGCCCACATCATCACACTCCCTCCACCAAATCTGTCCACTTGACGTACGCAGTTAGGGGCATAACGTTCATAAACACGTCTGTAGACCCGGTTCCTACCATCACGTCTCTGCAACAGGAATCTGGACTCATCGCTAAACCAAATGCGTCGCCAGTTGCGAAGGTTCCAGGCAGTCACGTTGTTACACCAACGGAGACGATGAGCACGATAGTGACGACGTAGCACGTTCCCGAAGTAGGGTCTCCTGGCTCTCAGTCCATATTCCGTACAGTCTGGCCTGATATCCTCCTAAGTCCTGGCACCCTGGCTGCAGTGCTCTCACCCGTAGCAGTACGGTCACGCAAATGGAGGACCCGGATGTAGCGATCCTGGGCTGGTGTGGTGACTCTAGGTCTTCCTGTACGGGGACGGTCATGTGTTGTGCCTGTTTGGTTGTAGCGAGTTGCAAGCCGTGATATTGTGCTTTGGCTAACATTCAGACGCCGGGCAACAGAGGATTGGGACTCTCCAGCCTGCAGTCTTCCAATGGCGATGTTCCTTGTGGCAGCATCAAGACGTGGCATGTTCATTTGGCTTGGAAACACCTTCTGAACGAATGCCTATTTCCGAAAGCAAGCTTGCTTTTTATTTCCAAACACTGCATGCTTTTCCTGCCTAATTTCAACGTGCAAGATGCCACTTGTTGCTTTGTGGCGATGCATTTCTTACTCATTCTCAAAAAACCATATCAAACTAAACATTTTCAAGCAAAATCGATTTGTTGCAAACGGAAGTGTGTCAATTGATGCTCTTACCAATATTGATACATATTTTGACGATAATATGAATACAATAGGTATTATTTTCGTTTTGACATATCAGTAACACAAATTCAATAAACTTCTTCAATAAAAAAATGGTTGAAAGTTTTATTTCTTATCAACTATTGACATTATATAATTCTGATGAAATGAGACTTCTTTCATTGTGAGGTGAGGTGAGGTGAGGTGAAATTGGGTTTAACGTCGCGTCCAAGATTATTGCACTTATATAGCGACGTGCATGCACGTGTGTGTGTGTGTGTGGCTGCTTGTACTAGTCCGGACTGATGCCGATTTATAGTGCTAGCTCACTGAGATACCATGCCGCAGTTTAACATGAATACCCCACTCAGACACAGTATACTGACTCCGAGCCGACCAGTCCTTGTTTTAGCCCCTTAATGTCGAGCGCCAGACAGGGTAACAACAAGTACCATCTTTATAACGTCTTTTGGTATGACGCGGCCGGGGATCGAACCCCGGACCTTCCGCTCTCCGGGCGGACGCTCTACCACAAGACCACGGAGGCGGCTCTTTCATCGTGAAAGAAGCAATAACACGGTCGATGTTGCCTGTATGGATATGTGCAATACTAGCTCATATTTTAATAAAAACCACTTAAGTCCACATACATACGCACGCACGCACGCACGCACGCACGCACGCACATCTACACACACACACACATTATCTTGTCATTCATCTTGTGTATTTTGTATATTTCGACGGTTGAAAGTGGCGAATATTACAGAATATTGATAAATACAGCGCTACCCGTCCGTTTTCTGAATCATACACAAGCAATATCACTTCTGTCTTCAAATGGACTCGATTCTAAAATTCAGTTTTCAAAATCTGGATACCCCTCCCTGGACCCTCAACTGCCAAAGTTCATCGCGTCTGCCTCCATCGGGGGTGGAGCTGTCACACAAGCTTAAAGAGTCGAAAAGGGATCTGATCAAAGCTCGAGTCGTTATCCAGTGCATTCAGACAGGTTCGTACTTTTTCCCATTTTACTAAAATACTTTATCTTTATTCATTAATACTGATGAATAACTCGTTTTATTTTCAGTCGTACGACATAGCAAGTTGCCACCCTCAGTGTGAGCTGAATGTGTATTACTGAAGTTGCTATTATACTGTCTGTGTTGTTATATACTGTCCGTTGTTATATATTGTCTGTGATGTAATATACTGTATGTGATGTTATAAACTGTCTGTGATGTTATATACTGTCTGTGATGTTATATACTGTCTGTGTTGTTATATACTGTCTGTGATGTTATATACTGTATGTGATGTTATATACTGTATGTGATGTTATATACTGTATGTGATGTTATATACTGTATGTGATGTTTTATACTGTCTGTGTTGTTATATACTGTCTGTGATGTTATATACTGTATGTGTTGCTATTGCATTACTACTCATTAAACAACAGCATAAATCGTGTCATAGTCTATACTGTAACTATTGATGCAGTGTTCATACTGTAACCATTGATAGTTTATACTGTTACCATTGATTGTTTATACTGTAACTATTGACGCAGTTGGTTTATACTGTAGCTATTGAATCAGTTGGTTTATACTGTAACTATTGTTACAGTTAGTTAATACTGTCACTATTGATGCAGCCTTATACTGTAACATTGATAGTTTATTCTGTGACCATTGATAGTTTATACTGTAACCACTGATAATTTATACTGTAACCATTGATCGTTTATACTGTAACTATTGATAGTTTATGCTGTTACTATTGACGCAGTTGGTTTATACTGTAACTATTGATACAGTTAGTTAATACTGTAACAATTGATACAGTGTTTATATTGTAAATATTGATGCAATTAGTTTATACTGTAAGTATGGATATAGTTAGTTTTATACTGCAAATATTGATAAAGTTAGTTTATCCTTTAATTTTTGATACAGTTAGTTCATACTGTAACTATTTGCATTAACTAATTAACGTTTGCATTTCGGCTCATAGTGTGGCACTATCATATTCAGAGTATAACATCTGATACAATGATTATAATTATTTTGCTTTCCCTCTAATACACCTTGGATAAATAGTTTCCTCTAGTTTGACAACTGAGAAAGCATTCAGTTTGATGAAGTGTGTACCTCAATGGTTTGATACTGTTAGTTAATACTGTAACTATTATCATATAGAGAATATAACTTATGATACAATCGCTATAATTAGTTGGCTTTCACCCCAACACACCGCGGATAAATAGTTTCCTAGAATCCCTGTTTAACAACTGAGAAACCATCCTGTTTTATGAAATGTGTACCTCAATGTGTGTGTTATCGACCACTACTTTGCTGCTTAAGACATGCGCAATAACACCCAGCAGGCCCAGATCGATACTTTGAAAAACTGATGACAAATTGAAACGTCATTACCTGCCTGAGTTTGTTTGCAGAATGCTTGCCCTCCGACTCACCGTGTCCGCCCTCCTCTTCTGTGGGACCTGTGGTTTCTCCAGGTATATCAAGACATTGATCCAATCCGTAATATCTGTTCGTAAAATATTCTAATTCAGCTCTTATCATACCACTACAAAGCACCCCGAATGGAGTCCGGGTTAGAACAGATCCACAGGAATATGTTCTGGTCGTAACAGGTTGATTGTGTGCTCTTGATCGGTAACTTAGTCGATTGCCTGTCATCAAACAACGACGGCTTGGATCTTTGCTCATAATATCGATCATTGGATTTTCTGGTCAAGGCCGTCGTCATACAGCTGGAATACAGCTGACTGCGACGTAAACAAAACAAACTACAACAAACAATATGTTGCCGTCATGCGCAATTTTAGTTATATTCCAGTTTAATGAGCTGACATGCGGTGGCATTAATTAAAGTTGTCCAGGTAGCGTTAACCCCAACTCACTCACTCACTCACCCACTCACGTTTCTTGAAGGTACTGGTTTAACCTGTTTAACAACTGCAACCCTCCTGAGCAACTGGTGGGGAAGTTCTGTGCTGCTGTGGTGGACAACGACGCCAACGATGACGGCAGAGTGGACTTCAGAGATGTTCACAAACAAATCCTGTATTTCAACTACGACGGTAAGGTCTGCTTAGCGAGCATCATTTGATAACCTGTAATGGGGCATGGGATTTCTTTACACAATACTTTTACTAAGAGGAATCATTGCAAAAAACATAGGGGTTGATAGGGTTAACCGATTTCGGAAAGATCATGCATTGTAAAGATTGCCTCTTGTTAATTTTTTAAGAACTGATGGAATACCAAGGTTTGATATGGTGATGATGATGATGATGACAACAACAACAACAACAATAATAATAATAATAATAATAATAATGTGTCAACCCATTTATTTGTCTCATGATCCTCTTGTGAAGCATTTCAAGACTCATGATGAAAAAAAGGCATTCCACAGTTTTCTAAAACGAGCCAAGGATGTGGGACATAATCTTAATGTCGGTGTTGATTTTGTTGATGGTTCTGTACTGCTGGACGATACAGAAATGAGTGTCAACCAAGCGAAGTGCCATATCAAATCGGCCCAGGCTCAGTTTTTCAAGGAGAGGCTTTCTGAACGACCACTGCATCGAGTTTATGTGCAGTGTGTTGAGAAGATCAGCAATCCTGCAGAGTCCTTCGCTTGGATGAAGTCGTCTGGCCTGAAAAGTGAAACAGAAGGCTTTCTGTTTGCTGCTCAGGACCAGTCACTTCCAACTCGAAACCGTCAATGTGTGATTTTGCATCAAAATGTTAATATGAAATGAAGATTATGTAATAAATTTAATGAGACTGTCCAACACATTGTGAGTGGATGCCCAGCTTTGGCACAGACACAGTATCTTAAGCGACATGATGGGGTGGCCCGATCATTTTATTACCGTTTTCGCCATGCTTGTGGTTTTGACACAGCGGTCCATCCATGGTACGACCCTGAATATGAGGGCGTCATGGAAAATGATAAAAACAAAATCCTTTGGAATAGGCCCGTATACAGCCTCAGACATATCCAGGCCAACAAACCTGATCTTGTCCTTTTTGATTAATCCAATGAAATCATTTATATCATTGAATTTTCTGTCTCGTTTGACAGTAATGTGATTGACAAGATTGAGGAAAAACATGGCAAATATGCAGACCTCGCTTTCGAAATGTCACGCTTGCATCCGAGGTACCAAGTTGTCCGACTCCCCATTGTTCTCGGTGCCTTAGGTTTGGTACTACCAATCTGTTGACTGACATTGGTAGAGTATCCGGGTTTGCTACCAGGAATATAGTCCTTCTGACAATCTGGGTAATGCAGAAGGCTGCAGTGTTGGGGAGTCTCCGAAAAGTTCTGGGTGGGTTTGACTAGGCAGCGCTTCCGGGGAGAAGTCCCATTCGCTGTCTGGACTGCATGTAGAGGGGGCAAGGGCCCTGAGCTGATGATGAGCCTAACCAGTCTGACTGTTCCAGTATCACCCAAAACCCTCTTTGCTGCATTTTTTTATTTCAATCTGTACATAATAATAATGATAAAAGTATATTATACCTGATAATTTTTCAATCTAACCTACAGATGACCCTTGCAGCTTGCAACAGTGGGAGGTCGTGACCAGGTGGACGTGCAGGTACGGCTACTCCGAGGACTACGCCCGATTCATGTACTCAATCTGGGATCCTAACAAAGATGGCCTTGTGAACGCAGATGACTTCACTGGATTCAGTAAGATACATGTTCAAGATATGTGTCCATCAGCTGGTGGTTTTAGTGGTTTTAAGTTTAAATAATTCAAGAATCATGGAATATATATTACAGTAACCTTTTTTGTACAGAATAGACTGTGTGCACCACAATGGCCCAGTCTTACAGCGTCGGAATAACGAACTACCGGTAAAGCGTCCTTGTGAATCTCGTGTCCGAAATGATTTGGGGAAACATTAATTTGATTTAAGATTCTCGACCTGTAACATTACATATAAACGTATGGATCTCGAGGCCAACACAACATCAGATGATACTGGTTCAGTGTGTTGCAGTCCTTGTCCTTGACGCACTCACTCAGAGAATTGTGCTCCCTCCTCCCTGTTCCCAGCGTGAGTCGATGCTCATGGTGTGAATCCCGTGTGTACTAATGGTTATTCACAGGCAAACGTGATGATATATAGCTGGAACTGAAGCAACGTAAAGCAACATTCACTTACTTTTTATTCTTTTTTCAGATTTGTCCAATGTCGACTTCTTATCGGTTCAATACATTGTAAGTAAACAGTCAAGTCCGGATGTAACGAACGTTGATATCTCGAATACATCACGAACGAACCAAGTTAATATTTTCAAGGAGCCGTAACCATTGTTTTGTTCCTATACAATTTATGTTATTGTTATAACAAACTGCTGGAAGTAATTTGTATGTTAAACCCGAAGACACGAACATACTTCTGTTCAACATCACTCTCCAATGTCAGTGTTGTATTTTCATGACATGTGATAATGTCACTGGTTTGAATAATACAAATGCTCATATCGGATACGTTCTCATGTGCCCACATACCAGTAGCTGAAACGTTTAGTCGTCACGTCGGTACACTTCATTTGAAGGATGCCCATTGTTGGCGTAACCTGTCCTTATTCGACATGAATATTGATGTGGCTGAAAACAGCAATCATTCACTCTGCCTGATCCCGTTAGTCGTGGTTCGAATCCCTGATTAAACGTGGATAGGCTACGTTACTTTCAGATTTGATCATACATTAAACACTGTCTGAAGTGATATCACACCAAACTACCCAAATAGCGCTAGATGTCCATTTCACACACTCACTCTTCTCCTGTCTTCAGCGTTTCAAGGACATGTACTGCAGTGACCCGAAAAACAGGGAGAACCCCGTTGACCGAGTCCAGTGTGCCGAGGTGGATGCACTGAAACCAGAGGACATCAACTGCACATAAGGATGACCCACAATCACCTGCAAGGGTCCGACCATTTCTCATTTTTTTCATCGGAAAAAGTAAATTGCCGACGAAATAGAAAAAAGAAATTGCAGCCCCCCAAAATTGCTACATTGCCACTTTTTTAACAATATTTTAGGCTTTAATTAAAAATATATCTGGTTTTAAAGTTGTTACTGAAAGGATAACTAGCCTCCCAACAGAATCCCAGCAGAATATCATATGGTCGGAAACTAATGTAGAAACGTCAATAAAGCTGTTGGTGAAAACAAGTGTTTTGTACTCAGTTGTCAGTGGTTACCATCATCGCCGAGTGTATGCTACTTTGTGAGATGCTGCTTGTCTTGATTGAAGGTTGGTTGGGTAGCCTGAAGGTTAAGGTGTTCAATTGTCACACTGAAGGTCGGGTTTCATTCCCCTAATGAGTACAATGTGTGAAGCATATTTCTGGTGTCTGCCGCTGTGCTATATCTGAAATATTGATGAAATCGGGGTAGAACCATATTCACTCACTCACTAGTAATTGATCATAATCCCTCAAACAAATGGACTGGACAAAACAGATTAAATGCAGATTCACACTCATATACTCATACCACAAGGTGTTAAGTCATCTGTATTTATTGATAACCTAAACATGCTAAAAGGGCAAGTCTCATGGGTAGGTACAACTTTGCAGAAATGTATAGATTGTAACATCGTTAATGCAAATATCGTATTCAAAACATCGAAATTTGCGCGCTCATTAAGGTCAATTGGCACGTTTGTCCTGTCCATCAATTTGAAACAAAAATACAGCGGAGGCGGAATTGAAAGGATTCAGCAAACAATAGTTATCATTGTGTATAAATCTAAGAATACTTCCTCTGTTACAGAACAGCCGCAATTCCTGCAATTTGGCTAATATCACACTGAAAGAAATCCCTAGATTTTCAACAGACGTCCACTTCACTGTCCAACACAGTCAGTAAACCGGAGATGGATGAGGGAGATAGAATGGACTGATGTACTAGTAGTGGTATTCGAAAAAATATACACAATGATAACTGTTGTTTGAGGGTAGCCAGAATATATCAGATGGATTGGCGAGATCTAGCATATAGTAATCCAGTATAGCTGACAATAATGATGATAAAGAAATAGAAACGTTAAGAAAGTGTACAATACCTTGATACTTTCACAGTAAATATGTGGCATCTTCACGACGTCACTTCGGGTCTTATGACGTCGGCTTTGGTTATTGTGACGTCACACATGGTTATGATGACGTCACTTCCGTTTCTTTGAGTGATCACCCTCCGACCTCACATCCTTCTACGGCATCCCTTCCGGTTGCTTTGACGTGACATACACCTGTCGTCAGTTCCGTAGAACCGTAGATCACCTCCAGATATTATTATTAAAACCCGTGTTAACCTACCCTAGGCAAATTGTTTGGTGTCAAATGCTGGATTTCCTACACCCGCCCCTCGTCTTAATCATCCACTTGAACACTTTGGTATGTAGAGACCAATCTATCGACACAATCTTGTTCCTAAGGGATAAACAATTGGCCAAGATGTTCAGTTTCACTTTCAGATGTGACATGCTTCCAGTTTGCAGCTGATCCAGTCTGCCAATAAATGCATAGTCTTCTTCAACACACTTTGTTATTTCGTTACCTCCTGTCATTGAGGGTGTGCTACTCTTGTGGTGTTGTATGTAGCAACCAGTACCGACGACAAAAGCAGCCTGACTGCCCAGGTTTATATTGACTAGTAAATCGCTAGCATCTCCAGACAGTTGATATGAAGCATTCTGTCCATATCTGTCCATGTCCTCTGGACTGAAGCTCTGTAGTGTGAGCACTCAGCACTCTACAGTTGTAGAGGCGGTGGCCTAGTGGGGGAAATATCAAGAGAATGTCCATCGAGAATGAGGGATCTCCTCTAATTCAATCAAGTTTGCGAAGTCTTCCACTGTACGTGAGATCTTGGAGAGATGTCAGTAACCCCGGCATAACATCCACCACCAATGCGATTGGAAAGGCTGACTGACGGCTTCTGTGATCATCCTCTGGACTTCACATACAGATCTCGTCAGGTTCACAGTGAAACGGAGATACTGGGATGTATAGATACATGGCGATATGCGTCCTGTAAATCTGAGCTGATTTACCTGAAAGTGGAACTTCGCTCTCTGATGGTTTCCATCTTGACGTACTGGACGTACTAGAAACTCTTTGTTGAGGAGCCTCCGGTCGATGATCATATGAATCTTTTACGTGCTCTTTCAGCACTAGAAATACCGGAGAATAAAAACCTGGTATCCGAGTTGGCTAATGCACGAATTTTCCCCCGTTTCTTGTCACGTGTGAATGGCCAAGTTCACAGTCGCCAACTTGGTCCCATCCAGATGGAGTCAACGACCCGTGGTTCTGGATACAAGTGCCAGGCACTGGTGAAAGGGCAACTTGTATCCCATGCGAACAAACTCGAGTATCCAATGGCCGGACATGGTTGCCAGTTGTTGGTGTAGGCTCAAAGACGTGCCCCCTGGAATCAGGCAGTTTTCTCTTGCCGAGCACCATCAATGGTGTGGGGCAGTTGATTATTAAAAGCACCTGGCCCTGATTGGTTCTGATAACACCGACTTCTTGAAGCTAGGAAGTGACATCTTTGTGTTAGCTGGAACTGGCTGGAAATCTGAACTTGTGCGGAGAGGAGATCTTCCTTCTTCCATAGGATGCGCTCTAAGGTTGAGTGAACAAAGCCAATTTGATCAAGTGTCATTGTGAGCGGCATGTCTGCTGGGAGGCCCATGTAGTTTCTTTGACAGGGGGTAATACATGACTGACCCCTACAGCAATGGAGGGTAACGGAGACGTAATCTGTGGCTTTACCAGTTGCCAGGGAGAAGAAAGCAGACGGAAAGGAGATATTAGCAGCGGACATAAAAGGTTTAATTCTTATTCCAAGAGGGGAATAATATATGACTTATTATACCTATCCTTATAAGGGGGATTAGACACACATGTGTATGTTGGGTAGGTTTCATTAGAGTATAACTTGGTGACGTACCGTAAAGAGCTTAATGCGGCGTTGTGTAAGAGATGGCTCTTCGGCCTCAACGTACAGACTGTTAAAATAAGATGTTGTGAGAGGGTAAAGGTAATATAAATATTGGAGGTCTAGTTGGGAAGAAAAAGGGAAAAAAGACAAAAGGACAATTTCATTTAAGTTATTGTTGTCTCCAGAAACCATGCGAAAATGTCTTGATTTCAGATGGAGAATATAGTCTTGAGCAAGTTATATAAATATTGTTAATATATATGCGTGTGTTTATTTCGAGGCATATGACACTGAAAATAATAACAATGGCGATATGCCTTGAAAGAAACAATTTTGACTTCATTGGTTTTTATTTTATTAAACAAAATTCACGACTGTGTGGTGCTGACATAGTAACAGCGCAGGACCCTGACATTATAACAAGGTTATTGCAGTTTGCTCGTTATTGACCACAAACAACCGCGTGAAACATTGTAAACAGCCTCATCATAACATTTCTTGTCTTACAGAAACGTGTAATGTAAAACATTAATAGTTATAATAAACGAATCAAGAACATTGCATTTTAAAAGTGTGTTGCAATCAAATTCAATAGCAATGACAATGTACAAAGCTAAACAAAACCGACGACTACAAAATCAGTCCGCTAACTGCCGGGAATGCACTTTACATGTCACTAACAAGGTTGTACTTTACAAGGGAATATGTGAATGCAGTCTATTCTATGCGTCTGCTTACATATGCGTCTCGATTAGCAAACGTCGAGCCAGGTCGTCTTGCCCTGTTGAGAAATGTTCTCAGGGTGAAGCATACATAAACTCCACAGCTGGGGGTACCCTTTTAAAATATAGGACAGTCCCGGTGGAGCAATGTTGTCGATGTTCGTGAGCTAATAGATATGATGCAGCACTTTAAGAGAGGAACTCGAGCTGTGATTGTATGTCGGTTTTGTTGTTTACGTTTTATATTTGTAAGTGTGAGGGATTGGCACGGGCTCGAATGTGTTGACCAGTACTCCACATGATGCAAACAATTAAATGATACTTATCAAATATAATCAAAGGGAGCAAGCGCATTTCTGGAAAACTGTTTTTACTTTTGCTGATCTCCCTCATGCAAATGGGATATATTATAAAGTATATCACAACTGCCATTCAAATTGGCGAATAATGGATTTGATTAGCGTGACCCTGGCCCCGACTGCTTGTGGCGCTTCTCATGCTTTTTACAACCACTGAGAAACCTGGCCCAGGCTCGATTATTTCTAAAGGCCGCACTGACAGTTCCAAAAGTCTTAAACAATTCGATCACCAAATCGTAAAGCTGTATATTTTGTAGGAGGTAAACAGCGAAAGAAAACATTAATCTCGGGTATCTCGGACGATGCAATGCACTCCGTAAATGCGCGTCAGGTGTTCCAGTCAGCATTTATATATATTCTCAACAAAAAATATAAATATAGGTGGTAAAAATATTTTCACAACTAAAATTCTTGGACGGAAAATTGTCTTTGTTGCGCTGCTATATGTATATATATGTACATGGGTTTTTCACTGTTAAACTGTCACAAAACTGTTCTATGGGCTTGTTTATATCGATGACCTTTGACATATGCATGACTCATATTTTTTGGAAACTGAAACGTGCAAGCCATGGGTTTCTTTGGCCGGTCGATGACACGTATACAAATCATTCAGTTAACGAGTTTTACTGCCCAAACTCAATAATAATTAGAAACCCCTGGTGATTCCGTGTTCGAATTGGGCCCTGATGCGGTGGTCAGGCTCGGTGATCATACTCTGACGGCGTTAATGTTCACACTGTCAATCACTGATTGCCTGGTCAATATTCGACAATTTTTTGGCCGCCGCCAATAGCTGGAATATTGCCGAAGCGGCGTAAAACACCAAACAAACAAACAAACGAAAATAACGTAAAGTATCTGGTCCAATTGGTGTTTGCGTTGTGGGTCATGTGTAGTACCTGGCCCCTGTTAGCAATGTATCCTTTCGGCGTTTAACACAAACACACAAACACACAGGCACGCAGGCACGCAGGCACGCAGGCACGCAGGCACACACACGCACACCATTCTATCATATTCACAAAGTGTGCCAGGTGCATTTTCTATTGAGACTGCAACAAACCGAATGCGGTCTGTTCCGCTGTGTCAAGTTCCACTGAAAAAATGGCAAAATAAAACAGGTGGTTTAATACTT